CGCCACCAGCAAACTTCAGCCGTCACCACCACAGTCCAGCCGCCACCAGCCGCGACTTCAGTGCCGCCACCGTCGAGCAGCAGGCATCCGCTACAATTCGCGCAGCCGCCACCCACAATTCAGCTCATTGCCGGTATTTGATTGTTTGTTGTTTTTTTTTGTGTTGCCGTTTTTAGATAAAGTTTTTGAAAACAGCCGTGTCCTGTCGCAGCAGAGTTGTCAGCATAGTCCTTAATCCAGTGACCACCCTAGTCACTGGCCGTGCATACTTCACATATTTATGTTCTCATCTCATCTTCACACTTATTTTTTCTAATCATTCAATGCAACCATCAATCCACTAGGGGGAAAAAATTCATCAAAAACATTTTTTGAAAACTTTCAAGAGGACCATAGCAGCTAGTCTGTCTTTATGTGTGTAGTATGTTGGTGTATGTTTTATCAGCAATCCATAAGTACTCTCCCGTGAACCGAGAGTGGTCAAATTCGGTAGGAGTACAGGCGACAGGATGGGAACACTTATAAACTGCCCAACGTCAGCAAGGGGCTGGGCGTGCGCGAAATTAATATCTGATCGTGAACTCTCAACTCTTCCCGTCGAAGCGGTGCATTCAAATTTGATAAGGTTACTTGCGGCAGCATGAAAACACTGATGATGCGCCGCAGGACTAGACTCGGTTCATAGGGAGTGGAGCGTGAACAAAGATCAATGATCTGGACCTGAAGTGTTCAAATTTGGTAGGAGTACAGGTGGCAGGAAGGGGATAATGACATGTGCTAGGAGAAGTGACTAAGTTGGACTCCACCCAGAGGGCAAGGGGCAAGAGAGGCGCCGAGTAAACTAGGTCACATCGCATCGTTGCGCACAGCGCAGCCCTGTGCCATTTCGAGGTGAACATGTGTGTAAGGCCGCTTTCATAGTCCGCCGGCCGGCCCGCGAGCGCGCGAGCGAGTGCTGATGAAATCAATGGGAACTTAAAGGCACCGTTCACAAAAAAGTTAGGGTACCCTTTTTTGACGGGAATTGATAGAACTACTCTAGAATAAAGCGATAACAGCGAAAAAAGCGCAAAAAAAGATGGACAAAAAGAATTACAAAGGGTCTGAAAAGGGGGTTGGGCGAGTTTCACATTGAAATAACGGCGGTTAGGGAATGTTCGGGCGAGAATGCACGAAGGCGACGCAATGTCTGCAATACAGACAACGCACCCAATTCGGCTGACACTGACTGGCAGACTCTGGCAATTTGCCAATCAGCGTATCGATTTTTCACCAACTTCGCTCCAGTGCGAATGTGGTGAAGGACAATTTGAACTCGTAGTCAGCCTAGCGAAGGGCAGAGGCCTCCCGCCCCCTACTGTTCCTGCGCTTATCGTGCCCTATCCAGCCGTTTTCCGACCTCATTCCTGCATAAATGGTATCAGAGGGAGCTTCGAATTCAAACCATGTGCAAATCTCAACCATTTTTTCGTAAACAGTGCCTTTAACAAGTTACCTTAACACACAGGACTAGAGCAGTAGTAGGCGGGGCGCACACAAAATGTGTCGGAGTGTGTGTGTGTTTGGCACCAAGCCAATGAATTCTGTTCTCATTCACCAGAGCGTCCAAATGTGAAAGAAATTTGAGTGGCGTTCCAATTTTAACACGAGAAAGAGCTGACGTCAGCCGGGCAAAATCATGGGCGCTAATTCATTACAATGTATTCTCCTAGGCTGAGAAGTAGGGACACCCTGTATATATATGTACATATACATATAGTACATACCGCAGTAAGTCAGAAATCAACGCTTAGCAGGATATGCATAATCTGCGAAGTCTATTCGAATGGTAAAACTTCGATAACAGAACTGTCCTCCTTTCCTTCCAAGAACCCCTCGCCATCAGACAGGTCTACTCCCTGACTTCCCTGATTATTTTTGACGTGTTCTATTTATATTGCAACTGGTGAATGGCTGATTTTCTGCAATCATGTATTGTATTATTTCTGAGGGCGGACAAAGATAGGAATGCCGAAGGCATATCATCAAAAATAATAAGTCAAGAGCTCTCAAAAACTCACATATAAACAAAAACAAAAAAAATGTCAGGAGAAAGACTGTATGGAACAGGTCGCGGGTGATCAAGTCTTTAGTGCACTAGTTACGGTTGCTTATCAAAACTGCACGGAAGGCTGAACTTTTATGTTTGAAAAATTAATTTTTCAAATATGGGAGTGGTTTCACCAAGTTTTGTGGTCCTAACTCACTTTTCAATCGTGAATAGTCAGCATAAATGGTAACAAATATAACGGGAAAATATAAAGCTTTGCAGAGTTGATAACATGGCATAATGTGCAATCATTTCACATTCTGGATGGGAAGCATTGACTACTTCAACATGTGATGGCTCCCCATATAATACCGGCTCGCAAATTCCTGAGAATCAGTGGTACGACCTACATTCTGCTTTGAAGGCGCATTACCCATAACATGTTCTCTGAGATAACCTCCCAGGACGAACCTGTCGCCTCCAAGAATAGCACATGTGACATTGTTGGGCCAAAGAACGACCTCGACAGAGCGTCATGAGGGCTCCAAAATAGGCTTGGCTGACGTACCCACCCAAAAGTGGCCGTGTTATGGCGGCCTTCCTATGCTGCACTATACACAATGGACTTCAGGACGCTGACGAATATTTGATTATGTGGGGACATCCAGACGATTACAGACACACAATCTCGTACAACATCCATTCTTAAAGGCACAGTTCACGATAATTCAATGGGCGGGGACGTCAATGACCTTCCCGTCTCTCGATCGAAATCACGTCAGACGGTCAGACGAGTGTCGAGACTACACAGATTGCAGATTTTCGTTCTAGGGTCCACACACAATCAGCTGTCGCCGCGTGAGAGGCAATGTTTTCCTCCCATTCTTTTTTCCTCTGCTATTCTTCTTGCTTTCGCAATCCCTTATTTAGTTTCCTACTACTAAAGGATGAAAAAGGTGAGCTACTTTTGCTGTGACTAGGGTTTTTCGTTCACCTATGCTTATAAAAGAATGAATTTTCGCTTACCATTGTCTTTTATTCGCACCAGGACCCACACGTACGCAGTGAGATACATTGTATAGCTCGTCCAAACGCCCCACTCCACTTCATTTTTCTGGTCTCATTCTCGTCCAGCCCCCTGTTTAACGGTTTTTCGAAGCCCCTTTTCAGATTGAAAACACCGATTCACGCAGTTTCTCCACCTTCATCGCACTATTTTCGATCTTGTCGTCCATTTTTCACCATAATCTAGACTACCCAAAATTATCGTGAACTGTGCCTTAAATACAGTTTGAGAGCCTTATATTTCCTGAAATTCGCGCCTTCCGCGCCATTTTTGCCCTATTCTGCACAATACCTTCCACTGTATCCCTTCAGCTTGACAACTCATTCTGACAGCTTGCATTCTGATCTAACTAAGTATTGATTGGTATTCATAGTAACTCTAAACATGACCCATATCAATTTAGCATCTGTTACACTTACCAGTAAATGTTTCAGATGAGCTATTTCTGCCTGTTACTTTTTTTCAGGCGAACCAGACCGACAGTTTCCGCGTCAATGGGAGCACTCATTGGAGGTAACGACTTTTTTGCTGGTCTCTCAGGTGAGTTCATGGAAAACTGATAAGCACCGATAGCTTGTATTAAGCATCTACATTCAAAGGTGGACACCGAAAAGAAACTGTACGAAACCCAGAGAAATAACTCGATCCCGTGAGGATGGCTTCCACTTAGTTTCACTTCGGCTCTTCTATTTCTGGACTTCAATCCATGCTGTTTAGAGGTTCACGCTCTACATTCGTTGACAGCTGCAGCTGCATGACCAGCACGGCAGTAGGCTGAAAAGCACCTGGACGTTATCTGATACCATGATAGACTCCACGTAATTTCAATAACAGGCTCACTGATAAGCTGCGCTTGTGTTTTTAGGGTCGCCAGCCAGCTGAGGCACCATTTTTCTTTTACAATAATCATTTTTGCCCCGTTTTTCTTCCGTTGAATCCACGATAAATATTGTGTCGTCGTTGCGCTTTCTCTTCGAAGTCTTCTTCCTTTTCCTACAAGTGTTTCTGCGAATAATTAGCAGCTGGCCTCTGACTAGTTTCAATTTTGTGAGGATAGTCTGACCAAATAAATGGGTAGTTCAAAACATCACTGTGCTCATTTCGGACTCACCGAAGTGCTGATAAGGTGGCAGTTGCTCCAGCAACCGGTAATTTGCCGTATACGTCAGAGTAATTACTGCCACATCAGCTTGGACATCCCTTGGCATGGCTTGAAAAGTTATGTACTTCAGTAAAGGGGATTGCGGAAAAATCGACCCTTCTCCACTTTCGTGGTGGTGAAAAAGTGCCATTGCTGGTTGTGCTGTAGTAGTTCATCCGTGACATATCAACGTAACGTCTCGGAACAGGTCCATTCTCTAACTCATCTCCATGATGGGCTTCACAAGTGGCAAAGAGAATCCAACAACTCTTGCGGCTCGGAATCGCTGAGGATTCTCCACACAAACTTCAGCAAATTCTGCGGATCCATATTTTACATTCTTACTTCTGACGTCCGGTTCTCTGATCAAAATGACGTTTGATTTGAATTGAACGGGCATCAACGATGACTTTTCCCTCCGGATTTCCCCGTCTTTTCAACTGTGTGTTGGTAACCACTTCACTTGCTTTTCTTCTTTTTGAATAACATAGCAAATCTAGCGAGCCTTGCAACAGGGCCTATCCAACCCTAAGCAAACACAGTTTTCATGCTCAACAACTAATAATGTAGCCATGTCATTGTTTGCGGAACCTCGTCAGGTTTCGAAAGTGTCGCTTCCTGAGGTTTCTACAGACCGTATTCCTTGTCCCAGCTTACACAGCACCTGCTCATACCGCTCAAACATTCCTGATATTCCCAAACAGATGATGTTTTACCGTCTCCTTCGTCTCAAAACTTCCACCTTCAGGGACAGCTTGCCAAACATGGCGTTGGCGCCTATTATAATCGGAGCAGCAGTTGTTGCAGTGCTATACTACTGGAAACAAATCTACGTTGCCATCCAAGAAAGAATGCGATTAATTGAGCATGTCGATCAAATTGCCGGGCCATACTCGATCCCATTATTAGGAACTACATGGATGTTCAAGTGGAATATAGCAGGTGAGTCCCTGAATGTATACTCAGTTGCTGTCTCTACAGCAACAGTTTGGACGAGAATTCCAGAATCCAGCGGTAGCTCATGTAGCTCAAAGTGACTTGAACCATTGTGGTTGAGAAGTTAGCCAATGAATGACCGCTGAGTTTCCGGAAGGCAAGCACAATGTGGGAGATTTGTTAAAGTAATGAATATGGATATACCCTGAAATATGGGGCTTATATCTCCTACGTATAAGGTCCCAGTTCAGGTAGGACGAGAGCAGATCGACCTTTCAGTCTCAGAGTATGTTTAGAGTCTACACTAATGATTTCATTTAAGAAATTTTATAGCTCACAAAATTTTTCTTTTTTGAAAGCCATAAACGAGGAAGCGAGTGGATGAGTTTTCTAAAAGTTCCTCCTGCCTGTAACAAAGTTTTCAAGATTTTGAAGAGAAACCTTGCCGATTTCCCAACTTGTGCCAATCGAGTGCTTATAGAATTTTCTGTGCAGTCAAAGTATTAGCACCTACATGAGTGTAGGCATAGCAGAAAACAAGTGGGTGTTTCTCTAAAGTACGCCACCCCTTCAATTGCCTCCTGAACCTGGAGGCGCTTGGAAGCAACTCCAACTTTCTCCATCAATCCAAACTTCTCGGTTCCCCTACCGATCCAGCGAAAAAAAATGAAGGGAAACTTTAAAAAGGGCGACTATGTCTCTTTCGTAAATGATAACCTATGTGATTGTTTTTATTTTTCAAAAAATGCAGCGAGCCTCAATGTGCACCCTGCCTATACAGCGGATTTCGAAGTGTTGAAACCAATAGGTGTTCCCCGTTAGCACGATTCGGGCTCACCTCACTGTAGTACAACGATGAGCATTGATTCCCGAATGACTTTTATTCAAGTATCGCTCATGTCCGTGGACATAAAGCTGCAAAACCAATGCCTCTCAAGCTCATGATTTGCAGTGATCATGTCGTCCTTACTCAGAGACAACGTTTCAGGACTGGCCATGCAACTCAGAGACTGGGGTCTTTATTATGCTGATCAAGGACATGGCTTGGTACGGATATGGCTGGCAACGAGACCGCTGGTGATCTGCATCAGACCAGAGACGGCCAAGGTATTCTACTACATCTAGCCTACCACGGGAAACTCGTCCTTAACTCTTGGAACAAAAATGACCTAAATTTGCAGCTTATTCTTGAGCGAATGGACACCATAACGAAAGGAGAGGAATACGATATTCTTACACCATGGCTAGGCACAGGTCTTCTTATCTCGACAGGTAAGACAATCGAAGCTCTATGAAGTATAGCTTTTCCATCGGTTACTGACATTGTAGAGCTCAGCTGCATACTAGCGTCGCTGTAAGTCACTGCAACTTTTTTCTTCCCTTTTCCTTTTCCTTTTCCTTTCTCACGTTCCAATTCTTCCTTGATCGTGAAGCGCTTGAATTTCAGTTTGGATGGAAAATTCCACTCGTTTTTTTTTTTCGATGAAATATGAAAACATAGCTTCATTCGGAAGGACAAACTGATTGTTAGAGAGGAGCCCAGGTTTTCCAGTAAATATCGCGTGGACATTGCCTACACTAACGTTTTCCTCGAAGCTGATAGAAAACTGGGATATAAAGAACCTGAGTGGCTCTAATGGGTTGGAACTGCCGTACAATTGTAAGACGACTGTAGTCATCACCACATCCATTCTCTCTCATCAAAATACCACATTTTACCAGATTACCATTACAAAAACGTGCCGCTCCCCCTCTGTGGCACCGTAAAAGTAGGGGATTTAAAAAAAAAGTAGTCTGTCATCACCGTAGCGGAATGAATGGAAAAGTGAATGCGACCATTTTTTTTNGTCCTTAACTCTTGGAACAAAAATGACCTCTATTTGCAGCTCATACTTGAGCGAATGGACACCATAACGAAAGGAGAGGAATA